TGCTGTCAGCCTGGACTTGGGACCTGTCTCCTCCTCTGACTCTGAGGGTGTCGGGTCATAGTTTAGTGAACATTTACTTTCAAGCTATAAAAGCAGGAAATTATCAGTGCAGGGGCTGGCAGTGTGGCCTTTAGGGACCAAAATAATGGAATGTTACAAAGTTTCTTCATGGTCTTACCCCCAAGTCACAAAGACAGTTTCTGAGAAGACTTTACTCCTTCACTCTCCTCCCATCAACGTAAGAGCCCCATGACGATAGTTCCATGACTGAGGAGGAGCCTCCACCAGCAGCCTCTCAAGGCCGGCACCTCTCAGTTCACGGGAACTTTGATTCGCAGTCTCATTCTGACAGAAAAGAATGTCCTCTCAGAGCAGTTTTCTTCATAGCTTCTTTTTTCCTTCTGCTCCTCCCTCTGACTCTGAGAAGTCTTCTCCCTTCTCTACTGTCACAACTCTCTGTAGTGAAGGCAAGCCCTATGTCTCTGTCGCTTGTTTGCTGGGCAGAGTTACCAATGACCCGATGCAACTTGGATATGTGTGTGTGCGTGAGACCTCTTACAGCCCTGGAGCCTGGGGTGGCATCCTGACCTTGCCATTAGCACATCCGATGCTGACCAAATGACAGCAGGGACAACTCTTATGTCTGAACAATGTGAATTAGGTAATGCTTTCTTAGATTCAGCCCAAAGTTGCCAATCAGAAACCAACACAAACCACTCCAGAGCTGTGACAAAAAAAAAGCTCCCTACACCTTCCATGGACAATTTTTGTGAGAGAACGGAGGGATCATTATACCTGGCACAATGGCTGTTCGTAAAAAGGGAGATTCGCTGGGTGGTGAAAACAGTGGCATTTCCCCCACCCTCTTCCCCCTCAGCACAGCCCAGGCTCTCGGCCCTCATGGCTGAGACCAAAGCCAGGGAGGCAGAGAGAAGGCTCCAAGAATCAGCAGTCGACTTCCTTGCTAATCCTTATGGGACTCCTGAAGATCCGCCTTTGGAAGTGGGGAAGCTTTCCTCGGGTTCTCACTCATTCCACTGACGCCAGTCGCCACCAAAGGAAACCAGTGCTGTGGTGGGGGAAGCGCCTGTGCCTCACGACCCACCCCTGGAGGGCCTGGGCGCTGTGCTGAGTGCAGGGCAGCAGGGAGAACGGAAGCAAGGTCCAGGCTGGGGCAGGGACACGCGGAAAGCCTCGGCTTGTTTGCCTCTCACTAGTGGAGGGTCTTGAGCCTTTCCGTTTCTTTAACATCATCTGATAAAAATAGTAAAAACCTATACCTGTTTCTTTAATAGTTATTCTAGGGTTTTGTTGCATTGATGACCAGTCCCATTTCAAGTTCAGACCTTTCATTCTTCTCTTCTTCACAAGACTCTCTGAAAGCCTTCTGGCTGGTCCTTGGAGAGCACAGGGGTCTGCAGCGCCCTCTGTCCCTGTGCCTCGAATGGACCATAGCCCACTGTGATGACAGTCCATTTAGCACTTCTGTATTTATTGTAAGAATGACTATAATGAAGACATACATAAATATGAGAAATTATAAATAAAAAGTTTTTCACATTGGACTGATTTTTTGAAGGTGAAGCTAAGCACTACTATTGGCAAAGCACTTTGTACTTCCCTGTCTACAGTGCTAGGAAACCAATCAGAATGAATAATAGTATCACCACAGCCAGGTGGTAGAACCTGGCTCCAAAGGAAAACACACAGAAGTACTTAATCATTTTGCTGAGGATGGAGGCCTATGGAGTGTGTGCCCCAGGGTCACACAGCTGCTTATTCAGTGGAGCTGGGAAATCCAGAATGATCAGGGAAAGGCTCGGGGAGAAGGGGAGAATCTGACCTGGGCCTTGAAGAATAACTTAAATTTGAACAGATGAATGGATGAGAGGGAGACATTCTTAACCTAAGTTCCACAAATACAGAAAACCGGCCTTAAGTCTCTTTACTAGTAAGTCGGTAGCCTCTCTGCGTTGCCTGTTACCTTATTTTGGATACTTTTTGCAAAACATGCTATCACCTTCCATGTAATCTTTTGTGTAAATCCAAATTTCACATTCTGGTTTGCTAAAGGAGGCAGTCCTGTAAAGGTTACAAATAAGCACCATCACTGTTTGTTTGAGTTATATAGAAAAGCTCCCAGTATTCACTTCAGTTGCCCTTGGACCGAGATAGGTGCAACAAGTTATCTCCTTTCTCTCTCCGCAGCCCTTCTCCTCATTCCCTAAAATCAACATGCATCTGGGCTGATGATCAGGAAGCGTGGTGGTGAGATCCAGGGCCTGGCAAGGACTCAAGTCCTCTTTCAGCTTGGCTATTACTTCCTCACTGAAATCCAGCCAAATGGATGATCTAGAGTGCACAGTCCAGGAGAAATACAATAGAATATAATGCAAGACATGTGAAATTTTCAAGTTCTAGTAGCCACACCAAAAAAAAAAGTAACAGAAAGCAGTGACATTAATTTTAACATTTTATGTAACCCAATACATCCAAAATACTATAATTTCAACATGTAATCAATATTTTGATATGAGATATTTTCATTCTCTTTTCCATAGTCTGAAATCTGGTGTGTATTTTACACTTCTAGCACATCTCAATTCAAATGCTAAATTTTCATTGAAAATATTTGATCTATATTCAGACCCCATAAAATTTACAGTTGGAAAGGCAAATTCACATACTTGCTTCCAAATACACTTAAAAGTTTTCAAAATAACTGAATCAATTATCAGCTTTTACATTTAAATTTATTAAAATAAATCGAGTTTTTCAGTTTCACTAACCACATTTCAAGTGTTCAGCAGCTGTGTGACCAAGGGACAGCACAGATATGAAACACTAATCTTTTCCTTTGACATACCGTTTGGAAGGGTTAAACCTAGAGGACTTTCATACAAAACTAGACTCTGGCAGAAAGCTTTGCAGATGAAGGATGGGGAATGGGAGATCGAGGATGAGGTTATCCAGGGAGGATGATATGGAAGACGGTAGACAGGAAGGGAGACATAAAATCTGGCCAAGGCGAACAGACCAGCAGACCTCAAGCCTGCTCCCTCTCCCTTTTCACACCCCTTTCCCTTGCTCCTGTAGGCACTCCCCAGCCCTCCTTACCCTCACCACACCCCTTGGCCATGCCTCTCTGCCATGCCTGGGGTCCAGCTGCTCAGTGGAGACTCCAGCCTGGGATGTCCCAGTGCCTTTGCAGGAGCTTGGGCTGTGGGCATAAGGGTGTCTGGTCAACTGCGGAGGGCCTCGCTGCAGGATCCTGGCTGGACGACAGGTACTAACTGCCCATCCCTGCCCCCAACTCCATCTTCCTGGAGTCCTTACATTCTTTCACCAGACAAGGTGTCCCCACTCTTCCAGGGCTAGCCAGCACCAAGGGGGTGAGAGCCTGAAACGTGAGTGTCTTAAATTGTTAACTGTGCTCCTGTTAGAACAAGTGGCCTTCTTTCCAGATGTGGGGAGAAATCTTGAGACTCATTTACAAGAGAAAATGAGACTTCTGGGGCTGCCTGCTGGAAAGCAGAGGTACCACGTGTGTAGTGGGCACCATTATGGCATCACCATCCATGTCCACACTGGACATGGCCTGTTGGGGACACAGCCTTCTGGCTCAGATTCAACTGTCTCAGGGTGGAAGGTGTGACAATGCCAGAGAAGCTCCCCATGCCCCACCAGTGTCCTTTCACTACAGAAAGACTGGGCAGAGATAGAGGCCAAAGTGCCCTGTGGTATGGAATTATTCACTGTAAAAAAAATAATTACAACCAGGACAACATATCATTATGATTGCAGATCAGCCAGAGATTCAGTAATGCCTCCCTATACTCTTGACTGTTTCAATGCGCCTTCACTTCATTCTCCAACAACCCAGGGAAACTGGGAACAACACTGCCCTTACCTTATAAGTGAGAAACTAATCAAGGCCTCTGGGCTAAGCCAAGGTCACACAGATCCTGCAGCGTTAGGATCTTCAACAACAGTGTGGGGTCCACATTGCAGAGCTCCGGTGACATGGGAACACCTTCTTGTAATAGACTTTACTATGCTGATCTCAATCATGCCGCAACCTCAAAAAACCCCACAGGTTAAAGGCACTAAAGGCAGCTGTGCCAATGATTTCTGGAAAGTCAACAACAACCTCCTCCCTCCTATCTGATTGGTAACATTAAACCCTGGCCTCTGTTCAGGAAGAATTTGACCAAGGAATGACAACTGCAAGGAAGCAAAGGAGTCAGCTCAGCTCCTAGGACACCTTCACCACTTAATTCACCAAGACAAATTCCCAAGGACACATTCATTGAACTTTCTCTTTCCCCAAAGCTTAACTGGAGAGAAGGAACACACACACACACACACACACACACACACGAACTGGAGAGAAGGCGCGCGCACGCGCGTGCACACACACACACACACACACTATAATTCCATTTGTATAAAATTCTAAAAAATGAAAACTAAACTATAGTCACAACACAGATCAGCGGTTCCCTGGGGGTGGAGGGTAGGGGATGAAGGGATTACAAAGGGGTACAAAAAATTGTTGAGGTGATGGATATGTTCATTATCTTGGCTGTGGTGATGATTTCTTCACGTATGTCAAAACTGTTCAAATTTTACTTTAGGCATGTGCCATTTATCTCAGGTCAATGATATCTCAATAAAGCTGGGGGAAAAAAACCCAACAACCACACACAGCCAAATGACACCCTGCCTCATCCTGGCATTTCCATTCAGAGCTTATTCTCCTGGTCCATCTGGAAGGAGAGACCTGGCCAGGATGGCACATTTTCCTCGGACTTGGCCCTGCGGGAGCCTAGGAAGGAGCATGATCTCTATTTACATGGCTGGATATGACCTCTTGATACTTGAAGTCAAAGTCATTATTTCTGCTTGAGTTCTCTCATTAACTTTTAATTACCTGCAGTGAAGACAACAAACA